CACTTACTGAATGTTATACATCATAGACAGGGGACTGGATATGATGGTCCTGTTGCTTGGCTTTTATGCTTATTAGATCTAAATTTAGATCACTGAGATACCTGTAGACTTCGTGAAAGTTCTTGCTGCAAGAGTTGTTGCAGTGTCAAAGTAAACATGGCACCAAGAATTTACATGAAAATGTGTCTTTCATTCATTGGTATGAATTATGAAATGGTACCCTTGGATGCCACTTTGAGCACTTATTTTAACCCTTTGTAGCACACCTAAAAATTTCCTTCTGTACGCAAACAAAAATTGAATGAAAAAGGATTTATAGGTTACTAGAGGTTACTCTGAACCTTCTTTATTTTAGTAAGTTTTCAAGTAGATGGCAGCCCAACACAAACCAATCCATATATTTTAGCCATGTTTAGTTTTTAAAGACCCTCATTTTTCAAAGAAATCTTCCTTATTTTTTGTAGGATATAAAAGGAATTATTTGAAAAGAAATTTCTATGTTATTTTACTGGCGGTATGCTAATGTCCTTATTCTATATTAGTTTAAAAATTTTACCTTGAAATCTTGCCTAAAATCGAATGGCGAACATCAGGTGTGCCCAAATTGGGCTCACTGAGAGGCTAGGACAAGCCCAAAAGCTGTAACTGTTTCTCTGCAGCTCTCTGGTCAGTTCATTGACAACAGAAAGGTGGGTCCACATATGTGTTTCATTTCCTGTTTTTCTTTCTTCTCTTTTTTTGGGGGGAGGGGAGGTTTGGATCAACTAAGAAATTGTTGGGGTGATTTTCTCAAGGTCACAGGTAATTTTAAGACACTAGAGCAGTTCTCTTTTTTTTTTTTTTTTTGTTAGCACTACAATTGATAGTTTTGAGTTGTAGATGTTTATTTAATTTTATTTTATAGTTTATAATTTCAAATTGTAGATATAATATTAGTTTATTTGTTTTTCAGATTTTTAATTATTTTTGAAATGGATCGAAGAGGGCTGACCATTTCTGTAGCACTAGTGCTACACAAATTGCTTTCAGATAGTGAATCTGATATGGATCCCGATACGTGGCAAAACATGCAATATTGGGTTGTGCTTTTTTAAAGGTGGTGTCACTTTCACAAGTACCACCATGAAAAATTAAATGAAAGTGTAAATATGAAATGTAAATAACATAAATACCATATACCCAAGTTACTTTTTTTTCCATTCATACGCATGTAATCATCATATAACCAAGAAGAGCTTTTTTAGGGGGTGTAGAGCACCAGGCCTCCCTGTGGCACACCCTGGGTAATGCTAAATCTGCTACAGTACTCAGAATCTAGTGACTTTAAATCGTAGGCAAACTCTCTTGCTCTTTTACACGCTTCCCAGCAATGCTCGTTTCAGCACTCTTTTCAAAGCTCTATTCACTCAGTGTGCCCACAGAATTAAAATGATAATTATCTTCACAAAATTTTACCTGTGTAGTTTTCTAGGCCTCATTAGACAGCCTACCTTTTTTTTTTTTGTTGAAATTCTGACTTTAAAAGGTAGTGTGCCGCCGGAACCAGTTAAGTCTTTCTCTGATCTGAATGAGGATATACAACTTATGATTTTAATTAAATATTTTTTTTTAGCTTTTGAATGTTTAACTTAGATATTTAACTCTACACTTTTCTGACACTCTGAATAAAATGCATCCCTAGTATTTACTGTACGCAATCTACGTCTTAATGCGTACTATTTCCTTTCTTATTTTGTTGAACTAGTTTACAAAAACCTTGTATATGTTTTACTGCATGATACCACAGTGCAACACTAAGCAGTTTTCCCATACTGCTATTCTTGTCTTTTCAAGGTCACATAAAACACAAAAAATGAGAAAAACTCCAAGACATCATTTTTTTGATCCAACTGCTATATTATTCATATTCAGTCCTACAAGTTCAAAATAAAGCATATTTAGACATTTTTATTATTCCAAAATATCTGATATCCCAAAATTTAGGAAAAGACTCCTTTGGAAAATTGCAGTACTTGCTTCAGATAACCACAGCTTGAATAAAGTGAAATAACTGCAAGTTTCCAATGTACATTTTCCTACTGAAGAAATTTGTTTATTTTAATATACTGTTGAATTACCTAACTGATGATATACACTCGAGCAAAAAACTAAAAGAACAAAAAAAGATGCTTTCTGCAAATTCGAATAGGAGTCCACCGATAGGCGGTTGGTAGCTCAATTTCAATGTAACATGCAATCTAATGTGATTCACCTTTGCTACACAGAAATATTCAAATTTTTGCATTCATCCTTTTGGCATATACAGAAAGGAGTATAAGTGGGTGTTTCAAACTCTAATTTCAAGGGTTGTACAAGTAGTTGGATAAAATTTTGAATATGGACGTTGGGACACATTCTTGACAAGGCATCTGATGAAATGTGAAAAGTGGCATGCGATTGGGAAAATGGAAGCAGGACAGACACTCATGCAGGTCTGTTAAGACCTTAAAGTAGCCAAAAGCTTTATGTCAAGAATTTGGAAATGGTTTAAAGACAATAGGATTGTATGCACATGATATAGCCAAGGTCAGAAGCATGCCACAATAGATGCTAAAAATCATTAATTGGCATAGATTGCTAACAGAAATAGATAAGTGTTGATAGCCCAGATTGCAAGGGAATTCACGAATTCACTACTGCTACAATCCATATATACTGAAAGTGACAAATTACATAAAAAAAGGCTATATGCATAGAAAACTATGGTCTGTGTCGCATTAATTGCAGCTTCAAAACTCATCCCACTGCAGTGGTCATTGTGACTGGAGTACCACAGACTAGGCCTGAGCTTTCTTCACCAATAAGTCTCATTTTTGTTTGGAGACTGATTCCAGACACTTTTCAATCTACAGGAAGCAAAATACAAGGAATTAGCTTGAAAACATTTGTGAAATGCAAAGATACAAAGGTGATGGAATCATGGTATGTGCAAACATCATTCTGAATGGCCACACTGACCTACCCATCTTTACCAGGACAACTATGAATGCTGAAAGATATAGAGATGTGGCTTTGATCTTTATGTCAAGCTGTTTAAAGATATAATCAGTAATAACTTCTTCACAAATGGATGATAATGTTTGTCCCCATCATGCGGTACTGTTGACCAATTATCTTGAGGACAAATGAATCCAGGAATAGTTCATATATTTCCCAGATTTAAATGATGGAATTGTGTAGGATGCTAATCTGCATTTCACACTCTACCTAACACTCTTTATCATGAATATACTTTGATACCACAGGAAGTCCCAGACAGTCTAATCAATAGGATAGTAAATTACTGTAAAGCCTGTGATCACAGGGATGATTACACACCTAATTAATTTTTTCTGAGTATTTCTTAAACATTCAAACACCAATTTTTGTCTCACCCACTTTATACCACAACCTTATATTTCATTAATTTTTTTTAGAAACAGTAATTTTTGCTTTTGAAGATATTATGTTCTGCTACCAGTTTTTACGTTATTTTCTTCCTTCACGTTAATACGGGGTTCGTGAGGATTTAGAGTGAATAATGACAATACTTCTTGAAGTATCTAAACACATTTTATTGGCCAGCATTGTCAGAACAGCTCCAAAACACATTTTTACAGTCGTCGATGAACTACTACAAACACGCTGACACGATCAGCGACACAGCCTCCAGGTTATCAGGCTATCACAGCGGAAACAGCTTCATGGCAAAGCACTAGAGTACAGCTCCCCACTCTGCTTGGTCATTCTCGGAACTCCACGTACTCTCGAGACTCTCCACGCTACAACTCGCGATGCACTCGATGACACACAGAGCACAGCTCCCGACTCTTCGGTTCAGTCATTCCCAGAACTTAACATGCTCTCTTGATGATGCACTAACCACGATACACTACAAGACTCTTTCGGTGCACTCGACGACCCATTCAGCACTTGCTGCCTGGCTGTCAACTCGATCAACTCTGCAGGGATTGGCTTGCCAGACCAGACACCAACTCGATACTAACTAACTCTCAGCATACCAGCAAGGTTTATATAGCTTTTGACTGGTGTTTGAGAACATTCTGGGCTAAACTGGTAAGAATTCGTTCCAGAGGCAACCCGGTCTTCCCTTAACATTTTATAGCAACCCTAAAACTGCTTTGCGAGGAAGCTATCTCACTGCGCCTGTACATTTTGTAACAATATGTTACGCATGGCAAAATAAAGATCTTGTGCAAGTTGCCTGTTCCTAGCAGAAAAAAACATTTAAATTATGTAGGATTTTTAAATATGTTCTTTAAATTTATGTAAGAATTTTGAATATGTTCTTTGAATTTTTCCTGCCATTGTACAATTCATGCATTAATGAAAGTGTGAGATTCTGATTATGCATGGATTATTACATAGTAATTTACTTCTTGCAGGTTTTATCACAATTTAAAATTGGAAAAAAAGGTAACTTTACTTTTTCCCAAGTTTATAATAATGGTTTAAAAATTATTATAGACAATATTTCTTATGGAAAACAGATAAGTTTTAAGTCTTATTATCTGAAATTTCAAAATTCATATCGCATTTGAGATATATGCTGGATAAAAATATATCATGGAAATGGGTCACAATTGCATTTAAACACCCTACAGTTAAACAACTTTAATAATTCCAAAACTTAATTTTATATTAAATTTACTTCAGTGTGTATATGGATTGTTGGAAGCATCAATTATTTATATTTCCAATGCTTAATTTCTTTTATATTGCATTTATTTCTTTATGAAAACTAAAAGTTATCAATTGTGCATGAACTGACATTCTGCATAATTTCAACTTTATTTACTTATACAAAGAATTTTATAATTCTATTTTAATAAACTAATCCAAAGCTTCATGAATACTGTGTACATAATGGATACTATGTAAAGCAAAACATCTATACACATTAAAATACTATACAGAAACTATACAGCTTTCTCTTTTGTGCAACTACATAGTTTACTTACCCTTTTATATCAAAAGCTCTTGCTAATAAACTTTGTAGAACTTCAAAGGAAGTGATCTGAGGATCAACACTAAACCTTCGATACTCTGGAGCCAGAAGTCCTTCACATTTCTATTATTAAAAATACAACCAATAAATTAAATTAAAAAAATATTTTATTTCAGTTTCATAATAAATTAAAATTTCATGATTAAGCCTAAACAAAAATATTCTCTACATTCTTTATCAACATGAACACTATGCAATAAAATCTACAATTATTGCTTCTTTACTGTTATTCTATTGCAGCTATTACCAGTGCATCAAAATATACAAACAATATGAGTATTTAGCTTTATCTTATTTTTGCAATTATTAAATTATCACAACCTAATTTTTATCGGTAATGATGTAATATGCAATTTACCACTTATAAAAATATGCATAACTGGAAGAGTTGTTTGCAAAATGTTCCAAAATAGTTTTACATGAAACTTTTATTTTAGTGATTCAAGCTTTTTCCTGAATATTAGTCATTTTTCATTAATATTATAAGTTTGAAATGAATCTCAACTCAGTCTCCTTTGGATAATCATGCTAAGCAAATAAACAGATTGGTTGAATGATTATTTTAGGTATTCTTACTAAAAATAAAAGTCTAATAAAAATTACATTTTAAACTACCGATTCATCTTTCAGCAAGTACTTATGGCATAATTTCACCATCACCTTCGTACCTATAAGTATGACTGACTGTTCAATAAAAAATGGCAATTCTTTTTTTCCCCCTCTTTCTGTGCTCTATAGCTCTCCTGCATAAAATAATTATCAAATATCAAAATAATCACATTTAATGTATAATGGAATGTCACCTTAATGATCCAAAATGCAATGAAACTTTTTAGGAATACATTTTGTCTCAAATGACAGAAACATCCGAAAAGTAAAAAAATTTAAAATTTGACGGAGCAATGCATGAAATTTAATGATATGCAATTCGACAAAGGCAAAAGTGTTTAAACAAATATATTAGATTTCATCCTTTACTTTATATCTATAAACACATACATAAGATTTTATCCTTTACTTTAGTTGTAATAGAAGTCATTGTGATGGCATTAATGTTGTCCCAATGTGCTTGGAATGTGAAGTTACACATCCTAGATTATTGCAATATTATTGCTGCATTCAGTACACTTACTGCTTGAACATGTAGTGATCACGTGGTGCGAGAAACCATTGTGAGCATTGATTTGCTCTCAAAATTGCTAGAAACATATGCCAAACTATGCATACTCTGCAACTAATAACTGGTTAATTTGGGAGGAGGAAAGAGGTACTGCAGAACAGACCCAGAAAATGTCATAAATAAATCAGTCTACAATAAGTCAATGAACCTGCTACTGTAGTCGCACAAGAAGATAAAATTGTGAATGTTGGATCCTAAATTGCAGATTTTTCAAGACTCAAGAATGTGCCTCACATACCTGTTTTAAAAATTTTATGGAAAATTGAATTTGGCATTTATTAAACAACTTATGTAATGGACCTGCGTGACACTGAAGATTGATTAATTATAAGATTCCTTGCTCCAGCATATACAATCACAGCACTTTACAATTGTTGAATATGAACTGAACTAAAACCTGAAAGCAGCTGATTAATTCTAAATTACTCTGCTCTATACATATACATTTATTGGTCTGATGATACGTAATGCAAAAATCATGATGTCTGCCACTGCAGTGCTACCAGAATTGGACATGACCAATATGATGATATTGGTAGACTTAACAGTTATATGAAAAGACAATTTTATAGCATTAATCTATCCATTTATCACATTCACCACACTATTACAGTTGCATATGCCTGTGGTAGAGAATCTATGGTAACTGCAGCCATGGATGACTTGCAGATTCCCCTCTTCAACAGGCAAATGTTGAATGGAATGCGTTGCCAAACACTGTTGTGCAACAGACCTTAATTCGTGCACTAGAGTTCTTCATGTTGCTATGCAGTATATTACACTCCGGTCGTGGACACTTAGCCGACAGGACACTTAATCAACAAGACATTTAGCCGACAGGGACACTTAGCCGACATGGACATTTAGCCGACACAGACACAAACCAACCGACCGGCATTTAGCCGACAGGACATTTAGCCGACTGACACTTAGGCCACACAATTGCAGCCGTACAACATTTCTGAAAAAGCTGGTGATAGCCTCTTTTCACAAATTAGAATTTTAGATATTTTTATTTTTGAAACTGAGATTGATTTTTAAATTTAGCATTTTTTATCAAGCGTAATTAACATCTAATAATATAAAGCTGTTACATGCTTCAGGTCTGTATATTTTTTAGCTTTTCCTATGCTGTAAGGAAATTTGTACTTCATCTCTGAACTAATAGAAAAATTCAAACAAACAGTTTCCTCTTACAATTTTATGCTTTTATTGGTGTAAAAAGTAGAAAATACTAAAATCGAAAAAAATGGATTTTTGAAAGTTTTTGCTTAAATTCTTATTTGTACTGCTTTTTTAAAAGTATATATCTCAATATTAGCATATATTACAAGTTTATTTCAATAATATTTCTAATACATCATAGTGATTAACACTTTTAACACTTTAATATTTTTTATGCATTTATTCTAATGTTAAAAATTGTATTTAACAGTAATAACTAATTGGCAAGTATTTTATAGTGATTATTTTTTAATTTATGTCTAGTTCTACATAAGTTTTCTTATTTATTGCTAATTTATTTTATTAACCCAAAAGGGCGGCAGCTCAGAAAAGCTATTAGTTTCGAAACGGCATTTTGCTTTGTTTCACTATAAATATCCGTTTCACTTTGCAAACTGTTGCCACCAAATATTTTCGCCCTGTATTAAATTTAAAGAAATTAAATAATTAAGAATCTGCATGAATGCATGTACGTTTCTCTCGCACTGTGAAAAAAAAACAACAGAATTTAGCACCATAAAATTTTGAATAACATAATCCTCCACCCGAACATGGGCACCTGGACGGCCTAATTTCGAATTTGTTTTAATCCATTTCATATTTTGTAACTTTAACGAAGTTTTGATTAAGAAACTCAATGAGTTCAAAGCCAGCAATGGCAACGCGCAGAAATTCTAAAGATTCACTTTCAAATATTTTGTGATATTCCTCTTGAATTAAATTTTACGTGGTTTACTTGTGAAGAACATGATGTTTAATAAATAAAAACAGCACGATACATATCAAACAATGCTAAATTAACACAATAATTAATATGAGATCCTTAAGAATCAAAAAATGAATTTTACTGATAAGTGAAAAAAATGACTTAAATATTGAACTTATGGAGTAGTCGAAAAATTTTGTAACTGATAGTTTAAATAATTTTTGGGTATGTCTCAGTTAAACGTCACTGTCGGCTTAGTAACCTGTTGACTAAGTGTCTTGACAGGTAAGTCTCCCGTAGCTAAATGTCTTTCGGCTAACTCTTGTGTGCCGGTAATGTCCTGTCAGCTAATGTCCTTGTCTAATGTCAGCTAAGTGTCCTTGTCAGCTAAATGTCTTGTCGGCTAACTGTCCGTGTCAGCTAAAAGACCTGTCGGCTAAATGTCCTGTCGGCTAAGTGGTGTCAGTTAAGTGTCCCGTCGGCTATGTGTCATGGACCCATTACACTAATGTCCATAAATTAAGGATAATGCAAAATCCGGCAAAGGAAGAGTTAGAAGCAAAACAAATTTGACTTATTTGTAAAGCTTATTTATTAAACAAAAGGTAAAGAGCAAAAAAAGATGCTATATGTTTGATATTATTAAAAAAATTAGCGATTTTTTCTTCCTGGAGCAAATCACAAAAAAACCTATTTACAAAAACACAATATTACATGGCTGGTATAATTGTTAATACATTGTATATCTCAATGCAATACTGTCTGTACAACGCCTAGGCATGCCGAGTATCAAATTATCAATCTGATCTTGGGGAATATTACACCACTCAATCCGAAGTTCTGGTAGACATGTAGGAGGAGGTTGACGGGCTGCAACTCGTCGGCCAAGCATGTCCGACACGTGCTCTACTGGATTCAAGTCCGGTGAGAATGCTGGCCAGTCCATATGGGTGATATCCTCCGATTGAAAATATTCGCTTACGATATTTGCTCGGTGAGGACGGGCGTTGTCATCCATAAACACATGTGCGCCCATGGCACCCCGAAACAAACGTACATGTTGTTCCAGAATGACGTCCCGATAGAATTGGCTTGTCATGGTTCCAATTTGAACATGAAGGTCCGTTCTGGAACCCAGAATAATTCCACCCCAAATGAGCACTTCTGCACCACCGTAACGGTGTCGTTCAACGATGTTTTCCTGGTTGTAAAGGGTACCCGGAGCTTTCCATAGGAAAGTCTGACGAGAATCAGACTGCAAGCTAAACCTGGACTCGTCGGAAAACATCACACAAGCCCACTGTTGCGGTGTCCACAATGCATGCTCTCTACTCTAGGCTAACCGCAGGCGACAGTGAGTTGCAGTAAGAGGAACGCATCTGACAGGTTTACGAGCATATAGACCAATCTGCCCTAAGTAATCTGCCTTGAAATTGTCGTACCAGTGGCTGAAGAGACAGGTCTGAGACTGTGCTCCGCCTGTTTCTTTTGGCAGTAACTGCCAAATACCGGTCCTCATTCGGCGTTGTAACTCTGGGGCGACCTGTGCTGTAACGTCTACTCACATTACCATCATCTTGGAATCATTGCCAAAGCCTGGAGATGACACTCTGGACAATTCCAAGTTTCTCTGATACTTCCAGTTGGGTACGCCCACATTCCAGACGGCCGATAATTCTACCATGTAAAAAATCATCCAAATGTGTCCTTTGTGTCATAACTATTCGGTTATTGCACTGAAATGCTTATAAAGCACCTGTGAACAATTTTACTTTTTCTTTGCTTGTATTCCTTATATATCACTCTCTTACACTCTCGTCATTGTGACGCACCATCGGTGTCATCTGGTTACTTCCTGAAATTTGCATATGATTCTTGAAGATGTGTGTAGTGATTTTACAGGTGATATATTTATTTTAGAGTTCGATTTCCGTGACTCCGAATTATCCTTAA